AGATGTATGCTGATCGATTAGTAATCTCAATGTAAAGATTTAAGAATAATAAGGAAGCCAGTTGTCTTGAGCAAAAGAAAGCGATCAGAACAGCTAACTTGTTATTCTTCCTGATAATCTTTTGACCCCCCCCCCCTCCTTAACTGTAAATCCTCGATAACGTATGGAAATATAAGCAATTTACACTAATAAAAAAAGTAAAGTTTTATTTTTAAGAAATTAAATAAAAAATATAAACATTGAAGCCTAGCAATATAATATCTAAATGCCCTGAGTTTCTAGGAATTGCACTGGATATATATACCGGCTACCGGCGAAATATTGAATTAATATTGTCTTCAACACATTTAAGGCCATTCAAAGATTTTACTGGGTTTTTAAAAGCGCCCGCGTTTGTCTTGGTTTCTGACACCAAGATCAGAGGAAAACACACATACACACAATCAAGAAGTCAAGAAATTAATATTTTGGGGGGTTGGAATCCTTTCAATTTTAATTTTGTCCACTTGATTTCTTTCAAGAATCTGTCAATTGAATTAGGTAGAGTATATTCTTCGCAATTATACATGTAATATATTGAAATAACGTTCTCCGAGAAAATAGAATTTAGAAATCAAATGATTTGAATGATGTTTTTATGAAAATAGAATTTAGAAATCAAATGATTTGAATGAAGTTTTTATGACATATTCCTTGTGTTTTTCTGTGATTTCTGGTTTTATTCTAATTACATTTTCTTCCGACGTTCAAATAGAAATCATGAATATGCAAAATTCTATTTTTACATTTACGTATATGTATAAATACTGTGTGAGTGTGTATAGACTCACAGGCACTTGGGGTATGGATCCTCCCTTTTCCATTTTTATCTTTTTTAATCTGGGATCAAGTCACCTTTTTCCTATTTTTGTATTCTAATATGCACTATATGTTATCAATAATATAACCCTTTTGTTTCTATAAGCTGTTTTTAAATATATCGTTTTCGACTGATACACTCTCTTTTTATGTATCAGTCGAAAACGATATATTTAAAAACAGCTTATAGAGACAAAAGGGTTATATTACTGATAACATATAGTGCATATTAGAATACAAAAATAGGAAAAAGGTTACTCGACCCCAGATTTAAAAAGAAAAATAAATGGAAAGGGGGGGGGGTTCCATACCCCAAGTGCCTGTGTATAGACTGTGCCGCATTCAATGGTCCTATTGTGAAATTGATTTCAAATTCAGTCAAAACTAACACCGGATCACATGCATGATATTTACATGTATTCCTTAACATTGATAGTTTAGAAAGATTTTCGGTTGTGGGAAGAAAAAAAAGGAAAGAAAAGATTATAAGGAGCTTAGAAAACAGTGTGTTCAATCTTGAGCGGATGAATTTGAGAAGCCGAATTTTTTACGTACGCGTGTGTAAGGTAACTCTTTGGTTGAAAGAAGTTATGAAAGTACACAGAGAAAATTCTAATTAAAATTACACTAGCCAGTAGCCTGACTAGGAATAGGATTAGAGAAGATACAGAAAATATAGATTTACACTGAAGGGAATAATCGATAACAAAGAACTCCAAGATACATCCAAATTTTAAGGCAAGTTAATTTAAGTTTGTTAAACATATTTCTTGAAACTGTCAGTTCGACAGGTTTGACAGACAGACTGAGACTGTCACTAGTGTCACAGGTACTTGGGTCTTGGTTTATACAGTGATTTTTCTACATTTTTTAAAAGGGGCCTGGGCCTTTACAATTGGGAAATATCATCGACATTTGTGCCAACTTGGGAAAAATCAATAAGATTGTAGTTAACTTTAATTTACAGGTAAAATGACATATACAAGTAATTTTAACACCATTTATTCAATTTATTGCTGATAAAATAACAAATTAGACACAGTTCTACATGTACATTAAATTTTATAACTTTCTTTTTTTTAATCTTTGAATTTGTCAATGATTGTCTTTATTTTTCATCATGGTTTTATTTTGGGAAAAAAGCAAATTAAATTGGGAAAAACTTGGTAATTTTTGACAGGGGAAAGGGTCGATATTCGGACCTAAATTTGGTGTAGAAAAATCACTGTTATAAATATGTATGTACCTTATTGATATGTAAAAAAAAGTACTTTTTTTACATATCAATAAGGTACATACATATTTATAAACCAAGACCCAAGTACCTGTGACTAGTGTCAGGAAAATGACAATTAGGCCTATTGAATAATTTTTCAAAGGGAAATTTTCATATAATGTTAGACACTTGAGAAAATCATTGCAAAAAATATGTTTTCTTAAATTCATTTCTTTGTCACTATGCATGCTTTATATGTATCTGACAGAATAATACAGCTGAGTATATTACTATGTAAAATTGAATTCCCTAGAAAAAAAGCAAATATCAAATACCCCCCCCCCCCCCCCCCCAAAAAAAAAAAAAAGTGTAGAAAAGTAGAGGACATAAAGAAAATTGGTATGTGATTCATAAGACAGGCACTAGAAGTTATACAGGTCCAGCACAATCTCTTGATTTAGCTATGTAGCTTTATTAAACTATTCGGAATAGCTTGATTTAGCTATTTTACCATACTTTTTTCTTAAATGTGTTATTTTCTCAGCATGTACAAAAAGTCGCACCTCGGTGCAGTGATAATATTCAACCTTGAACTCTACTGAAAATAATGCATGTAAAAATCACTCTTCAAATTGCATCTCCTAAAGAGACTTTGTACTCAAAGTTCTAAATGTATTTGGGCTATATAAAGCAAGTGAAACGGTTACTTCTTCAGTGAAATGATAAAGGAGGCCAATTATGGTCAACAAAATAATTGATTGGTAATAATTCAGTACGATGAGAAGCAATCATACTTATTCCGCCTCAACGCACACAAGGTAGGGTACAGTTACTGAAACAATGGAAATTCATCTTTTGCTTAAAAGTATTCAAAAGTTGCAATGTTAGAACTATCTTTGATTTCGGTTGGTGTTTTCATAGCCCATAGTACATATATGCATAGTCAAATATTTGCGACTTTTTGTTTATTTTTTACAAAAAAAGTTTTTGTGAAAAACTGCATAGAAATAGCTTTATCAAGCTATTTTGAATAGCTTAATAAAGCTATATAGCTATTTCAAGCTATATATCTAAATCAAGAGATTGTGCTGGACCTGTTATAGTTTAAATATTGAATACGTGAATTTACATGTATATAACCATTTTAAATACAGCGATATACTCAATATTTACAATAACTTCCAGTGCATTTGATTCAAAACATTTCACATTAACAACAAACCATTTGAACAATTTATTGATTGGACATGCCCATTGAGATGATTCATAATTCTGAACATAGAACATTCTGTACTTATAGATCTTTGTTTGGACCAGGGTTTTTTTAGGGGTTGTAGGGGGCCTGTAATAGGCCCCATTCCTAATCACAGGCACTTAACGTTTTTAACCTTTCTTTCCATAAATAAAAAATCCCCCATACTATAGTTATTATTATAGTATGGGGGATTTTTTATTTATGGAAAGAAAGGTTAAAAACGTCTAGCGCCTGTGTTCCCAATGGTAAAAAGTGTGTGTTTTTCCCAATTTCATGAAAGAAAATTCCCAAAAGATGATTTGAAGCATGTCATTAAAGTCAAATAATTCTAAATAATATAGAAAGAATAGCAATTACAAGTTAACTGATTTTCAATAAGATTTATTGAATGTAAATAAGTCAATAAATGCCTTGCAAGTAAGGAAATGGCTATTATTTGAATTTTTTCTAGAAAAATGTGAATTATGATATTTTTCCCAATTTTAACTAAATGTTGCTAATTTTTCCCAAATGGAAAGGCCCAGGCCCTTGATTTTAAGACTTAAAAAAAACCCCTGTGGACTAACAATGTCTTGAATGTCTAACAGTATTAAGCTAATTTCCAAAACTCGGGCATTGCAATGTAAAGTCTAGCCTGATCATACTACATGCTTTTGTTTCTAATTCATTTGTTCCTGATTAATGGTGCACCTACATTACTTGAAACCTACTTTTTATGATTGGTAGATATAAATAATTCTGCTCCCCACAAATTTTGTCCATAAAGTGAAGCATCACTAATTAGGGCTGTGTCAATATATCGAATATTCAATACGTATCGATTTTCAGGAATGTATCATATCGAAAAAATAACTTCCAATACGTATCGGACAGGCAGTTTTCCTTATAATGCTGTTAAAAAGTTGGGAATTTCAGTTACCAAAGATTATTTTTAACTGTTTTGAATTAAAACTGGTCAATAATGAAATAAACATTAAGGAGATAGCATATCTTAAATAACTATTACAAAATACATAGACAACTATATTTTAACATGTTATGTTAGACTCACCCAGTTTTTATGAAATTTATGCATTAAATGTCATTTACAAGACATTTGTGAAAGACTTAATAAATAATCCAATATATCGCATATCGCTTTAAAAAATATCGTATCGTATCGAAATATTTTGCTCAATACACAGCCCTATCACTAATATGTTGACGGTGCGACCCTTGGGGCGAGCGCATTGTTCACTTAATTTTAAGATCATTCAAACCGCACGAGACATTTGGAACGTCTAGACTGTGATGTCACATGACGTTGTATGTTAGCTGCATTTCCATAAAGGAAGTTTGAAGTGCAAACATTTTAACAAAGAACGTTTAATCTACTATCTGTATGCATTATCTATTAAATTAAGGTGAGTTTATTTTTTTGTGAATTTTTAGTTGTTCTTACCGCGCGAACGAAGTTAGCAGTGAGAACAACAAGCGATGCATTGTGGGTACAGAATTACTGCGGAAAAAATTCTATTGAATGAATGTGCAGTAGTCCGAATTTTCTCTTCACCCAGGCGTTGTCGTTAGAGCTCGCAGTGACGAGCGGCACTTTGCGCTGCTCGCTATAAATGGTGTCCAGAATAACAATTCTTGACTGTACTTGTTCTAAATCTGATTTTTGTTGTTACAGGTGTTATAATGTGCTGATCCCTAATGTCACTGGTAGGTTACAATTGCAGAATTCTAGTTTAAGATCTAGTTTAACATATATCCCAAATTTGTCCATCTATGCTAAAAGCTGATTACACTTGAATTTTGATATAAAATAAGTTGAAAATTAAGCCTTTGTTAGAATAGTAAATAAACATAGATATTTATGATGAAGCTAAATTACACTGACAAATATCCTCACAATGTCAGAGTGCTGAGTCCACTTGTGGCTGTGGGACCCCTGAAAAACTTCATCTGATTTTTTATAGGCTGACTGCAGCCATTCCTTTAGGGAAATTACAAGTCATAATTGTTTTTCTTATATCTCGAACAATCAAATGAAGCCTTTCAGTGACAAACAACCTGTGACAGGTGCATTTCTGTTTACTTTTGATGGCAACTTATGAAAGCCTCAATTTGATTGGTGCTTCTCAATAAGGGAAGCCATTTGAATAAAACTGAATTAAGTTTGTCAGGGGTCCCATTGCCATGAGTGGACTTGAGACTCCTGATGGTGTGAGGATGACTGAAAAATAGCATTGTAAATTACATTCAATTGTAATAAGTTGAAAAAGAATTTTTTTGTCAGAATAAGCATAGATATCACATTTAATAGTGAAATCTATTTACACTAACATTGCTTTGTAATGTTACAGAACTGTGCCTCCTGCACTAAGCCTAGGACACTCGACTCTGGTGGAAATGCTCCCTATTACAAACCAATGAATGTGGTAAGTGTATATTGCACACATTTAACCAATCATCTTGCTAATAAATAATGTTTACTTTAGAAATGACAATCATTAATCCACTTTATTATTATAACACCAGAATTTACAAATACAGTGGAAGGAAATTTTCTGAGCTAAATAGTCTTTGATTCCTGCAGAATTATACTCAAGATTACGTTCTATCCCCTGTAGCAATAATTGCAATGTTTACAAAATTTGATGATGTTATATATTCAGAATAAATCCTTCCAAAATTCTACTAGAATGTTTCCCTATAAAAAAGTTTTTGTCTTTGAAAGTTGATGAATAGGCCTAATCTTTATTCATCTCATTCTCATTTTCTCTCTCACAAACCCCTTTTTTTAAGTCCGAAAGAGTTTTTAAAAAAAATATTTAGCTATTAGTTCCTCTGTGTATTTTCAATGTCATCTGAGATCTGTTTGTGAGTCTAACAAATCAATTCAGACATCTTTTTAATTAATACTTATAATTCAAATAATAATTTGTTAATATTTCAGATAATCTACTAATATAATTAGCAAAAACATCCCTTAGTAAAGGGCGAACATGTATAAGGTAATATAAGGATAAACAATGCATGATTCTGTAGTAATATTGTCAACATGTGCTAATGTTTCACTCCTCTTAATAGTAGCATATTAATTTCAATCTATGTTTGTAAATTCAGTCACATCTAACTTCATCCATATTTTGTTCTAATGCTTGTTGTGTCTCATCAGACAGAATCATTCTTTCTTAACAATCGAATATCTTTTTATTTGTTGTTAAAATTATGTTTATTCCATTTTTCTCAATTTGGTTATAAGAATGATCAGTGGTATTCACTTTATAAATCAGAGTATGTCTGTCTGTCTGTCTGTCTGTCTGTCTGTCTGTTTTTGAGGATATTGTTTGCATGACATCTATATTTGTCAGCCGTAAATTTTCTGTTTTATAAGGGAGTCTCTTTGCTTTCTGTATCTTGCTGGAAAGTGTCAATAAATGTGGTGTACTTTCTCAGTCTTTGTAAGCTTTTATTGTCTCTTAAATGATTAATTAAATCGTTGGTCATGTTCTGGTAATATAGACTCCAGTAAGGGGGACAACTCCTCAGTCCTGCTGCAAATGTACTGCATTTTACTCTTTTCATCAAACAATATTATTGATCTGCAACCAAGTCAATTTCCCCATCTCATCATACAAGTTCTGAATCTTCAAAGGCTTTACATTTCTCTTCTTCATGCTCTCATAGATTGTTAAAATAAGTACCGGTACATATAGTAAACTTTATGAAGAGGAATTGCATTGGAAGCAGCTATGGATCAAGAGTAATGAACTCTTACTCAGTTTCTTTCGTAGTACATGTATACAATCTAAATACTAATTAGAATAAGTAGTTGAAAATTGTTTTAGTATTAGTAATACTTATAGTGTCATTTTGATCGATATACAATGTACCACTACCTAGGTAATAGCTATTTCACATTAACAAATAGAATATTGCAGGAAGTATCTTTTTACCTTGTTGTTAATTTTGCTTTCTTTGTCAGCAGATAATGTGGTGGTAGAACTGTAGGTGTTGATGCTGGAATTTTTAAAATAGTTCTTTAAAAAATGAGTCCAGTAAGAATTTATTTTGGTAACTATATTTTAGAATTTTGATCAGGCTCTTGAAATTCATAATGGTAAGCATATGATTTTGGTTTTACAACTTTTTTTCTGATATAATGAAAAGGAAAATTCATCTTTTGAAAAATCCCCCGCTGACACTTCTGTTTTTCATTTTTTTTTTTTTCGTTTTTGTTTCATCGGAAAAATTTTATATTGTTTCCATTCATAGTTATGTTGTTTGAGGGACAATTTTACTTTTAAATTTTTTTTATTTTGTTTCTGTTCATATAGAAGCACACCCATTTCTTCCCTGAAGAAAAGAATAATTTGCACTTTTTATTAATTTACATGTCCAGAGCCATCCAAGTTAAATAGTTGATTTCATATTATTTGATATTTTTAAAAAAGAAATCTCTGTATACTATTGAAAATAAAGATTGTAGTTTGTTAAATAAAGTCACACATTTGGTGAAAAAATCACAAAATTTGAGGAAAATTTTGATGAATTATATATCAGTTTTCCAAATGTCTATTTTATAATGCTTAAGGGTGTGAGGGGCTAAACTGGTTGAAATTTGGAAAGTATGCATCTTTTTTTTCAGGCATCAAAGCAAGGCTCACAAAGCTTTGGCAGTCAGGACAGTGATAATTTAAGAGTACCAATAACATGGCAGCCAGACGTCACACAGTATCAACTCCACAATGTCATAGGTGTGTCTGCTTAAGTGTCAACTTACTGTAAAAGTGATTAAATTGAAAGGTTGAAAGTTTGACGATTTTGGTATTTTAGAAAAATGGGTAATGGTAATTTGACGATCTATTAGTAATTTAACAATGCTCTTTAACAGGATTGTGAAAATGAGTGGCATCTTTGATGATTATTAGAAATTTGTCAATTTCATCATCATGTTCACATCGTCAGTTTCACTTTTACAGTACCTTTTTCGAGCTATTTTTAAAAAATGCATAATGTTCAAAGTAAAGAGCTATATATATATATATATATATATATATATATATATATATATATATATATATATATATATATATATATATATATATATATATATAGTTGAATTTTGGCATCTGGAATACATGTATCATCTCAAATACCATGGATGTGTTGAAGTGAATTGGAATTTCCAACCTTTTTTCGTTTATGAATTTTCACCTCAGAATATTAAATCCTTCAATATCCCTCAGTTTTTCTTTAGCCCCATTGAATTCAGATAACAAGGTTTGACTGTATGTTTATTTACATGAAAACAGGTAGAGGAACATTTGGCTCTATTACGGTTCATCTTGCCCAACACCTCCTGAGCGGGAAAAGTGTGGCTATCAAACGGATCAATATTGAAAAGAGTCCTGTGGAATTCAAAGTTTTTCAGGTAAAGGGGTGAAAAAAATAGCAAAATTATATATTCATGCAGAGTAAAATCATCATGGTTTACAGCATTATCTTTTGAACTAAAAGAAGAATAGGCAGTAATGGCCACTAACTGCGTCTTTTGAGAAGTCGTGCAATAAAAACGTAGATTTCAAAACAAGTATTTTTGTTAGCTATAAGGCCCATAGGAAATGGGGGAGCCCCCTCTCCCCACAATTATTTTGCCACTATATATTTTAAAATAGAAAACAAGGCTAATTTATAGTTGTGCCTCCTCAAATGGAAGAAAAACACACAACTCGAATAAAAAATCTTACTTCCTATGTAGCTTGTAACAAGAGATTTGATTGGTTTGTAAGCTGGGTGTAAATTTCTGTACACCTGACTTGAGCCAGTGGTAAATAACATGACGTCACAATGCATAGTTTCTCTATCACAAAAAGCAAATGAAATGATGTCACGATGCATTGTCGCATGTAGTAAATCAATAGTTTGAAACACCATTGTTTGGACTTGAGTTTACAAAGAATTTATTTGGGTACATAGGAAATAAATTTGTTATCCAGGTCCAGTCAAGGTTTTACGGGGATTTATCACAGGTTGTATTCTGAGGCCGAAGGGTATATGGAACAAAACCCAGGCTAAATCCCCATTCACCCTTGACTGAACCTGGAAAACTAATAATATCCAACCACAAAACAATGGAGATCCCATATATACTGAGATTTAGCCTTGGCAAGGGTATAAAAACACATACATGTACGGAGTTCAATAAAATATCATATCTAACCACAAACTATGGAAGATTCTTTTTATCACATGTTACACAAACCTATTACATGTTTTACACTGTTTTATAAATGTAAATCCACAATATTTGAATTGATCAAATTCATGCAAAAACCACTGTGATATCACAACCGTGGATATGAAAACAATATCCTATGAGCTACTGTGGAATCATTAAAATTAGTGGGGGCCAGTTATTGTGGATTTCTTAAATTTGACAGGTTCGTTGGGACATATATTATTTTTGTATTCTCTTATACCTACAGAAGGAAATATGACTTTGTAACCATAAATTTTGAAATCGTGGAGGATGTTAATTCATAGATGAGAGTTACCCAAGAATTCCAAGAAAATTGAGCCACCATGAAATCTAATGATTCCACAGTATATCCACTGTATAAAGGAGTAAATGTGCAATAAAATATTCTATACAATAGAAAACTAAGCTTATTTTTGATTGTGCACCCTCAAAAATAATGTTGACCCTTTTTTTTTTGCATGTTAAGATTTTCTGTAAGTCGTCTGTTTAAGATTAATGTACTGGTATTGGAACTTTGTACATGTATTTATTACATCAAGAAGATTTGCAGTTTCATACAGGTTCCACATAAAATAATGGAAGAAACCATGAATTTCTTGGGAGCAGTATATTACAAAGGACAATTTATCAGCAAAAATATGTACATTAAAACACGCTTATAGCAAACACGCTTATAATGAATTGATGCATATAGCGAAGTTATTTTCATTCTCCTGGCTTTAAAATATAAACTAAACGGATTTAACAAAATATGTTTACAAATCGTCCATCCCCGGGAAGTCGTGTTTTACTGTATTTGGCTGTGATTCATCATGTTGATTTAATGTCGTTTCTCTTTTTCAGGATGAAGTGATTCTCTGTAGACAGATGAACCATGAAAACATAGTGAAGTACCACTCTACATTTGTTAATGATAAAGAACTATGGATTGTATTACCTTTACTGGGATATGGTGAGAGGGCTACAAATATTTTCATGTTAAAGAGGACCTGTCAAACTATTCCCTCTAAAACTGTACCTTGTTGTCAAATTAATATGTACAATGAAATTCACAGATTATCCATAAGCCATTTAAATAAAACAAAGACACATATACTGGTACATGTAATGGTCAATTTCTACAGTTGTTCCAAGTTTTGTAAAGATAGCACAAATCATTCAAATCCATTTCTTTGGTATGGCAGATGGATTGGAATTGCAAAAATTGTAAATGTAGAATCATGAAAATTTTGGGCTGTAGTAATTGCCTGTTATACAAGTTATGTGATACTTTGTATTGAGATATTTAGGTTAAGTTTAATTGCTGTTTTGACAGGGTCTGCTAGAGATGTCCTGCATGCCTACTTTAAGACAGGTCTACCCGAGACAGCCATTGCCTACATACTAAGAGATGTAGTGAGTGCTTTAGACTATCTTCACAATCGAGGAATAATTCACAGGTAACTGATATGGAAATATAAACTATACAGTTAAACATTGATACCTCCCAACCATGATATATTGAATTTATGGGATGTGTGAAAGTAAGTGGATTGTCCTGACCTTATTTGAGATTCAGATTGATGTGTTTAACATCTCATCGTAGGTATTCCGTAGGTCTAATATGTTTGGGAAATCAAGGTTGGATTGTATTTTGATTTTATTTGTAATTAACTTAAAATTTGGAATTAAAAACCTCAGTTTTCCTATAGAAGTATTGATTTAATTCAATGCTTTCATCTCATGTACAAAATTATGTAATTTGCTAATACACATATTTTGCATTGAATAATTTGCTCATATGTCTATCACAATCTAACATGTTCTTTGTAAAACAGATAATTGAAAAGAAATTGGTTATTAATTTGAGATTGAAAGAGGAAAAGTTTTTCTAAATTTGAATTTTCATTTGCCTATTTTCAGGAGTGTAAGAGCTAGTCATATTTTGATTGGAGGTAACGGTAACGTGTGTTTAGCAGGACTACGCAGTGCTTATCACTTAATTTACCATGGCAAGAAATGGTCTCGTGTCTATGACTACCCTAATGCCTGTAATGGTGATCTACAATGGCTTAGCCCAGAAATTCTAGAACAGGTGAATTTTGAAAAGAATCATAATTATTATACTTTTAGCTTACCTGAGCGAAAGGCATAGGTGTTTAGTGTCTAATTTTCTGACTATCTGTCTTGTGTTATGAATATTTTTTCACATTTTTATCCTCTGCCCCAGAGCCACTGAACCAGTTTTGTCATGCATTATTCTTGGCAAATGAGAATTAAATTTGTAAAATTAAAAAAAAAGTTAAAGACCATGCCTTCTTTAAAGGGAGGTAATTAAGACATGGCAAAAATATGCTACTTTCATTTAAGAAATGTTATCCCATAGATAAACTAACATAACAAACTTTTGTATATATTTATTTAAATGACATGAATTTATATTGAACATTGGTAAACAAATTAATGCTGAATATTCATTTGCAAATTTAAGCTATATGAATTACCATGAGTTACCTTATTCTTGTAGAATTTGTCAGGATATGATACGAAATCTGATATATACAGTTTTGGGATCACCAGTTGGGAACTGGCCAATGGTTATCCTCCTTTTGAGGATATGCCTGTCACTCAGGTAAATATAAGTAAAGTCTTTTATCATTGAAATTAGAGGTGTCCTGGATTTCCACCTAAAGAGGATGGTGCAAACATTTTTTTTTTGTAAAGGAGAAAAGAGAAGAAAAATGGTACATATATGTGGAAAAAATATTGAGTGTTTTCTTGGATTTTGATATTAAATATCACTTTTAAAATTGGTTCAAAATGCATTCATTTCAAATATTTTATTTACAGATTGCACATTTTTTTTTAGTCCAAAAATTTTTGGGGCAATTTAGGAGTGGATATATCATATGTGCATCCCTCCTAAATCTGCCAGTGGACACCAACTTGAAAAATTGAGCTCTAAAGAACTGCAAACGTCCAGATGCATGATTTTGTCTCTACACTTTGTACTGTTGTATTAGCTAAATAAAAATTTGATATGGAGTGGGAATATTTTGAGGACGATTCTAAGACTTTCCTAATGTATGCACATATTTTACAGATGTTGTTGGAAAAGGTGAATGGTACAAAACCTATGTTACCAGACTGTACCACAATAGGGGAGCTTACAGGGGAGGAGGAAGGTCAGAAATTGATGCTTTAACCCACCCATTCTTTACTTAATTCTATAAATGTTCCCTCTCTATTCGATTGAAATTCTTTGATCTGCTCATATAGATCTCTATGCAAATAATAGTGGTCAATGTGAATAAGTCACATTTCAATTGGATTTTTACGACTTCTTGTATGATGAATTCCTTCACTTGTAGATTGAATTATATTCAAATCTTTTTGCTCCTTGCTTAGAGAAATGAAGTACAATCTTAAGGTTCATCGATACTCTCATAAGAGAGATAACTCTTAATGACATAAATATCTATTATTCCTTTATAAAGACAAGTTGAAATGTCTTTTTTGTCCAATTTTGCCCAGCAAGCTATGCTATAATTGTTTGTATTTTACTTAACAAATAAATTTCTTTTGGTAAATCATAAGAGTTAAAGAAACATTTTATATGAGTGAGCAGAGGGTTTATGAACCTTAATGTTTGATGATCTCTTTGGTTTATGCAGATCAGCACAATGCCAACATGGAGAATGGAGGTATTGATATTGTGGCCATTGCAAAGGCTCGCAAGTTTTCATCCTATTTTCACAGTTTGTTGGACAGGTGTTTAGAGAAAAACCCTCAATGTCGGTAAGAAAGTTACCTGACAGTAACTCTTCAACTACAGAATATTTGATTGAAGAAATTTACATAGCCTTTACCCTTTGATTATTTCTTTATGGTTACATTCATGATTATGAATAATTGTCATTTCATTAATGAAATAGTACAGGCTTACCTGATGCTACTTGAATAAAGTTAAATATTTATCGTGTAGTAGGACAAACCCCAGATAAAATGGAATGAAAAGTAGGACAAATGCTTCTGTATTTGTCTATATTTGTACTATACCTATGTATGTAGGTGATTTTTTTCTTGTTAAATAGACCTACAGCTGAGGGTCTTCTGACGGACTCCATGTTTAAACAATTGAAGAGGAAATCAACAGAGGCCCTGCCAAACCTCTTACAACCCCTCACTCCTATCAAACTGGCTAATTTAACCAGCGTTACAACAGAGGGTAAGCAAATCAACTGGCTAACAACCCCTCACTCCTATCAGACTGGCTAATTTAGCCAGCGTTACAGAGGGTAAGCAAATCAAACTGGCTAATTAAGCCAGTATTACAGAAAGTTAAGCAAATCAAACTAGCAAACTTAGCCAGTGTTACAAATGATTAGCAAATCCAACTCACTAAATTGGCATGCAGAGGGTAGGCATATCAAAATGGTTAATTTTACAAGTGTTATAGAGGGTAAGCAATTCAAACTGGCTAACAACCCCTCACTCCTATCAAACTGGCTAATTTAGACAGCGTACAGAGGGCAAGCAAATCAAACTGGCCAATTTAGACAGTGTACAAAGGGTAAGCAAATCAAATTTTCTAATTTAGGCAGTGTACAGAGGATAGCAAATCAAACTGGCTAATTTAGACAGTGTACAGAGGGCAAGCAAATCAAACTTGCTAATTTAGAAAGTGTACAGAGGATAGGCAAATCAAACTGGCTAATTTAGACAGTGTACAGAGGGTAAGCAAATCAAACTGGCTAATTTAGACAGTGTACAAAGGGTAAGCAAATCAAACTGGCTGATTTAGACAGTGTACAGAGGGCAAGCAAATCAAACTTGCTAATTTAGACAGTGTACAGAGGGTAAGCAAATCAAACTGGCTGATTTAGACAGTGTGCAGAGGGTAGGCAAATCAAATTTTCTAATTTAGACAGTGTACAGAGGATAGGCAAATCAAACTGGCTAATTTAGACAGTGTACAAAGGGGAGCCAAATGAAACTGGCTAAATTAGACAGTGTACAGAGGGTAAGCAAATCAAACTGGCTGATTTAGACAGTGTGCAGAGTAGGGCTGTAACGGTTCCAAAATTTTTCGGGTCAGGTCGGTTCTGTAAATTTTCGGTTCGGTTTCGGGTTTTTCGGGTCGGGTATTTACATCTATTTTAAACCTTAATTTCATGAATTTAACGTGAAAAATCTTTATTTGTAGCAATAAATTTACATTGAAAACTAGTCTTAACCATGCGAACATCTAGACATCGGTGATTTGGCCTACTATTAGCCACAACCTGACCATTCCTGCTTGTTTTGATAATTATCTAATACTTCCGTGACAAGTGTTTTGTCATGGAATGAAGTAGATTTCAGTTGTGATGTTTATTTATCACTGTTATCGTCATCATTCCTTTGATTTCGACGCCATTTTTTGTATTAAACAGACTCTAATATATAAACCAGACCCCAACCGAAATCCGGAAAAATGGAACCGGAACCGAACCGAACAACTTGGACAGCGGTTCTCGGTTATTTCGGGTACTCATGACAGCCCTAGTGCAGAGGGTAGGCAAATCAAAGAACTATATATGGTAAGGGCGTATTCCTGCCCCCATAATAGTCAAATTTTGAAAATCTCTTGAAATGAGAAAAAGTGCATATATTGTATTAATAATCAAAATTAAGACAATATATTATGAAATTGGAAAAATTAGCTGGCTTTTCTTGTCTCTGTGACGTCACAAACTATTTGGATTTCCGTTATTTTTAAAATAGAGGCCAAAATGCACAGAGTTTGTTCAATTTTGACTATAGCATTTATAGAGCGCAAGCTTGCTCAGGTATCATATTCACATATTTCATTGATATTATCATTCTACACATTATATCAAAAGATCTAGTCTGAGCAGACCTGCGCTCGATAATTTCCAATCAAAATACCGACGTAAAATACGCTATTTTCTCTCAAAATCATTGCAATTTGGAATTTTCGTCATTTTATTGACGTCATATCTAACTAATGATGTCATAGTTGATAAAAATATTTAATGCTTTGAAGACTGCAAATATCCACCTGGTTTAGAACATAATTAAAGATTTCTCCATCAAAGTTTTATTTTGGGGGCAGATACTGGCCACTACAGAATATAGTCCTTTTCTAATTTAGACAGTGTACAGAGGATAGGCAAATCAAACTGGCTAATTTAGACAGTGTACAAAGGGGAGCCAAATGAAACTGGCTAAATTAGATAGTGTGCAGAGGGCAAGCAAATCAAACTGGCCAATTTAGACAGTGTACAAAGGGTAAGCAAATCAAATTTTCTAATTTAGACAGTGTACAGAGGATAGGCAAATCAAACTGGCTAATTTAGACAGTGTACAAAGGGGAGCCAAATGAAACTGGCTAAATTAGATAGTGTGCAGAGGGCAAGCAAATCAAACTGGCCAATTTAGACAGTGTACAAAGGGTAAGCAAATCAAATTTTCTAATTTAGACAGTGTAAAGAGGATAGGCAAATCAAACTGGCTGATTTAGACAGTGTACAGAGGGTAAGCAAATCAAATTTTCTAATTTAGACAGTGTACAGAGGGCAAGCAAATCAAACTGGCTGATTTAGACAGTGTACAGAGGGCAAGCAAATCAAACTTGCTAATTTAGACAGTGTACAGAGGGTAAGCAAATCAAACTGGCTGATTTAGACAGTGTGCAGAGGGTAGGCAAATCAAATTTTCTAATTTAGACAGTGTACAGAGGATAGGCAAATCAAACTGGCTAATTTAGACAGTGTACAAAGGGGAGCCAAATGAAACTGGCTAAATTAGACAGTGTACAGAGGGTAAGCAAATCAAACTGGCTGATTTAGACAGTGTACAGAGGGTAAGCAAATCAAACTGGTTGATTTAGACAGTGTACAGAGGGTACGCAAATCAAATTTTCTAATTTAGACAGTGTACAGAGGATAGGCAAATCAAACTGGCTGATTTAGACAGTGTACAAAGGGGAGCCAAATGAAACTGGCTAAATTAGACAGTGTACAGAGGGTAAGCAAATCAAACTGGCTAATTTAGACAGTGTACAAAGGGTAAGCAAATCAAACTGGCTGATTTAGACAGTGTACAGAGGGCAAGCAAATCAAACTTGCTAATTTAGACAGTGTACAGAGGGTAAGCAAATCAAACTGGCTGATTTAGACAGTGTGCAGAGGGTAGGCAAATCAAATTTTCTAATTTAGACAGTGTACAGAGGATAGGCAAATCAAACTGGCTAATTTAGACAGTGTACAAAGGGGAGCCAAATGAAACTGGCTAAATTAGACAGTGTACAGAGGGTAAGCAAATCAAACTGGCTGATTTAGACAGTGTGCAGAGTAGGGCTGTACTGGTTCCAAAATTTTTCGGGTCAGGTCGGTTCTGTAAATTTTCGGTTCGGTTTCAGGTTTTTCGGGTCGGGTATTTACATCTATTTTAAACCTTAATTTCATGAATTTAACGTGAAAAATCTTTATTTGTAACAATAAATTTACATTGAAAACTAGTCTTAACCATGCGAACGTCTAGACATCGGTGATTTGGCCTACTATTAGCCACAACCTGACCATTCCTGCTTGTTTTGATAATTATCTAATACTTCCGTGACAAGTGTTTTGTCATGGAATGAAGTAGATTTCAGTTGTGATGTTTATTTATCACTGTTATCGTCATCATTCCTTTGATTTCGACGCCATTTTTTGTATTAAACAGACTCTAATATATAAACCAGACCCGAACCGAAATCCGGAAAAATGGAACCGGAACCGAACCGAACAACTTGGACCGCGGTTCTCGGTTATTTCGGGTACTCATGACAGCCCTAGTGCAGAGGGTAGGCAAATCAAATTTTCTAATTTAGACAGTGTACAGAGGATAGGCAAATCAAACTGGCTAATTTAGACAGTGTACAAAGGGGAGCCAAATGAAACTGGCTAAATTAGATAGTGTGCAGAGGGCAAGCAAATCAAACTGGCCAATTTAGACAGTGTACAAAGGGTAAGCAAATCAAATTTTCTAATTTAGACAGTGTACAGAGGATAGGCAAATCAAACTGGCTAATTTAGACAGTGTACAAAGGGGAGCCAAATGAAACTGGCTAAATTAGATAGTGTGCAGAGGGCAAGCAAATCAAACTGGCCAATTTAGACAGTGTACAAAGGGTAAGCAAATCAAATTTTCTAATTTAGACAGTGTAAAGAGGATAGGCAAATCAAACTGGCTGATTTAGACAGTGTACAGAGGATAAGCAAATCAAATTTTCTAATTTAGACAGTGTACAGAGGGCAAGCAAATCAAACTGGCTGATTTAGACAGTGTACAGAGGGCAAGCAAATCAAACTTGCTAATTTAGACAGTGTACAGAGGGTAAGCAAATCAAACTGGCTGATTTAGACAGTGTGCAGAGGGTAGGCAAATCAAATTTTCTAATTTAGACAGTGTACAGAGGATAGGCAAATCAAACTGGCTAATTTAGACAGTGTACAAAGGGGAGCCAAATGAAACTGGCTAAATTAGACAGCGTACAGAGGGTAAGCAAATCAAACTGGCTGATTTAGACAGTGTACAGAGGGTAAGCAAATCAAACTGGTTGATTTAGACAGTGTACAGAGGGTACGCAAATCAAATTTTCTAATTTAGACAGTGTACAGAGGATAGGCAAATCAAACTGGCTGATTTAGACAGTGTACAAAGGGGAGCCAAATGAAACTGGCTAAATTAGACAGTGTACAGAGGGTAAGCAAATCAAACTGGCTAATTTAGACAGTGTACAAAGGGTAAGCAAATCAAACTGGCTGATTTAGACAGTGTACAGAGGGCAAGCAAATCAAACTTGCTAATTTAGACAGTGTACAGAGGGTAAGCAAATCAAACTGGCTGATTTAGACAGTGTGCAGAGGGTAGGCAAATCAAATTTTCTAATTTAGACAGTGTACAGAGGATAGGCAAATCAAACTGGCTAATTTAGACAGTGTACAAAGGGGAGCCAAATGAAACTGGCTAAATTAGACAGTGTACAGAGGGTAAGCAAATCAAACTGGCTGATTTAGACAGTGTGCAGAGTAGGGCTGTACTGGTTCCAAAATTTTTCGGGTCAGGTCGGTTCTGTAAATTTTCGGTTCGGTTTCGGGTTTTTCGGGTCGGGTATTTACATCTATTTTAAACCTTAATTTCATGAATTTAACGTGAAAAATCTTTATTTGTAACAATAAATTTACATTGAAAACTAGTCTTAACCATGCGAACGTCTAGACATCGGTGATTTGGCCTACTATTAGCCACAACCTGACCATTCCTGCTTGTTTTGATAATTATCTAATACTTCCGTGACAAGTGTTTTGTCATGGAATGAAGTAGATTTCAGTTGTGATGTTTATTTATCACTGTTATCGTCATCATTCCTTTGATTTCGACGCCATTTTTTGTATTAAACAGACTCTAATATATAAACCAGACCCGAACCGAAATCCGGAAAAATGGAACCGGAACCGAACCGAACAACTTGGACCGCGGTTCTCGGTTATTTCGGGTACTCATGACAGCCCTAGTGCAGAGGGTAGGCAAATCAAATTTTCTAATTTAGACAGTGTACAGAGGATAGGCAAATCAAACTGGCTAATTTAGACAGTGTACAAAGGGGAGCCAAATGAAACTGGCTAAATTAGATAGTGTGCAGAGGGCAAGCAAATCAAACTGGCCAATTTAGACAGTGTACAAAGGGTAAGCAAATCAAATTTTCTAATTTAGACAGTGTACAGAGGATAGGCAAATCAAACTGGCTAATTTAGACAGTGTACAAAGGGGAGCCAAATGAAACTGGCTAAATTAGATAGTGTGCAAAGGGCAAGCAAATCAAACTGGCCAATTTAGACAGTGTACAAAGGGTAAGCAAATCAAATTTTCTAATTTAGACAGTGTACAGAGGATAGGCAAATCAAACTGGCTGATTTAGACAGTGTACAGAGGGTAAGCAAATCAAATTTTCTAATTTTGACAGTGTACAGAGGGCAAGCAAATCAAACTGGCTGATTTAGACAGTGTACAGAGGGCAAGCAAATCAAACTTGCTAATTTAGACAGTGTACAGAGGGTAAGCAAATCAAACTGGCTGATTTAGACAGTGTGCAGAGGGTAGGCAAATCAAATTTTCTAATTTAGACAGTGTACAGAGGATAGGCAAATCAAACTGGCTAATTTAGACAGTGTACAAAGGGGAGCCAAATGAAACTGGCTAAATTAGACAGTGTACAGAGGGTAAGCAAATCAAACTGGCTGATTTAGACAGTGTACAGAGGGTAAGCAAATCAAACTGGTTGATTTAGACAGTGTACAGAGGGTACGCAAATCAAATTTTCTAATTTAGACAGTGTACAGAGGATAGGCAAATCAAACTGGCTGATTTAGACAGTGTACAAAGGGGAGCCAAATGAAACTGGCTAAATTAGACAGTGTACAGAGGGTAAGCAAATCAAACTGGCTGATTTAGACAGTGTACAGAGGGTAGGCAAATCAAACTGGCCAACTTAAAACCATTGTTACAGAGGATAAGCAAATTCACAGAAAATGCTTTCAATTCTCCTTGTAAAAAATCGTTGAGTTCTGAGTTCAGAATGAAAAAGGGCTGGTGTGTGGGTGTTTGGAGGGGGGGATGCTCTCCAGATTTATAGGTTAATCAATTATGTCCCTCCTCCCCCTTTAAAATGAAAAAAAATGAAATTCATTAGCATCTTTTCTTGCAGATGAAGCAGCAGATTCTTTGGTTGAAGACATGGAGCAAGTGAATTTAGTCGGTGAATGGGACTTCTAGATGTCATAATCGTGCAGCATCGTGATGTTTGTTAGTGAAACTGTTTTGTTTGAATTTATTAACTGCAATTTTGTTATATTAAGATAAATCATTTTAAGGAAAATTGACATGAATTTCCAGTGCTTTTATTTATCATCTGAATGGAGTTCACTGTTAATGAGAATGCTCAAATACATATTGTATGTTAAACCATTTAATTTTTTTTTATATACAATCTATAAGAACATATTTTTTACAATTATTTTGATAGAAAACATTTAATAGAAGGAAGCATGTCTTAAAGCTGAACTTGCTTTTGAAGAATACAGGTTTGACTATCATAAGGATCCAGTAACACAAAGATGTGGAATTAACTTGACTTGTCTCCAAATTAATCTTAAGATCAATATTAAGGTCAAAAATACAATTACCAGAAGTATCATTAACAGACATTCTTGCAACAGTCTAGTGTATATACGTACATGTATGCAGATTAGTCAGTTGATATCTCAAAAAGAAAATAACATGAAATTGAGGGATACATTGCAAGAAAGCTTTATTATTAAAGTAAGCCAAGTAAATTGCATGGTAAGAAAAGACTTCACAATATTAGCTACACATATTTTCTAAATTTCAGTACTGTTCAAGTAAAAGTAAAGTCCATTCTGTTTTATTGCAGTAACTCCTTTGTCAAATTACTGTTGAATCCCTAATTTTTTTTTTTTTTTTGGGGGGGGGGGGGTCAATTTGCTTTAAGTTTGTTAGTAGCCCCAATCTGATTAAAATCAGATCCTCGATGCTCCTTTTTTAACGATATGTCGGTTACGGTCGTAAGCAACATATCGTTAAAAAAGGAGCATCGAGGATCTGATTTTAATCAGATTGTTGGTAGCCCTTACCCTGGAATGTATAACCTCAACAAATATTGAAATGTAGGTGATGCTTTCATAAGATGTCTGATCATGAAATTATCTCCTTTATACAAAAGCAATTCAAGAGAAATGTCCCCTTAAATTGCACCGAAGTACAGTTTTTTAGCTAACTTTTTTGCCTAACTGAATGCTGTAGGCCTGTTTTCTGTTTTGCTTTTTCTATTAATTCAAACCTCTTCAAGAAAATAATATAGCCAAAGGTACATTTGGTGTATAAAGCTACATTCTGTGCCTGTCGATGAAATGAAATTATCTATTCAAAAATAAAGTGTCATCCCTTTTGTAGACCATCTTATTTAACTGTCACGTGACCCTCACCATCCCCCCATGACCTGCTTCATCATACGTCTGAGGCCCTCCTCCTGGAAGCCCTTGTTTGTAGCTGAAACATAAAACCACTGATCCATTAATTATAAAGTGTATTTAAATAAATATTAAAGGTTTTCAGGAGAGTGTGAGTTTAATACAGGAAATAGTTTATTTAATTTTTTGCTTACAGATGAAATTATTTTAAAAAACTGACTGAAAAAATTAGTTCGTCTGATCATTTTGTAATTTTTGAAATCCCTTTTGCGACCAGAGTTATTTGAACAATCAACTCCTCATTTAAAAAAAAGAAAACAGAATCTTTGAAGATAAAAACTTGCCAAACAATGCTCCTGTGTATCCGTAACCGTCCCAGCAGCCGTAGGGGTTGAGGGTGATAGGACTAACCTGGGGGTACAGGATGATGATGTCATTTATCTCCCCTACCTCATTATAACCCCCATGCTTGACATAGTCCTCATTAATGTAATGTCTGTCAGATAGAATTAAAGTTACAATAATTCGGTAATTTTTCAAATAAGATTTTTAAAGATAAATATTTATCCATTTTAGCATGTCTATGAATAATGATCAATGCATTGGCCGTTAATAATCTTCTCTCTACATACATTGGACATGACCAGAATTCTAATTATTTAAATCCACAATACCTGCCCATTGCACAACCATGCAAAGCGACATGGAGTTTACATTCTGAAATAGAAACATGAAGCTCTTATACAGATATATAAAATGTACACATGTAAAAATATAAGATTTTATGTAGATGTGTACTTGATCAGTTCAGTTATAATAAAACGAATTAAAGCCCATGGGTTCCAGTGCTTACATTAACTGCAATTCTGTTCATATAGTTTACTTAAGTATCTTGATGTGAAAAGGTTTACTTCTACAATCATGTTAAAATATCTTTCTTCCCTTCAAATTCTTCATTATATGGCATCAAATTATATATTTGGGATACTACGTGCATACGCATTTATTGAGGTGGGGTTATGGATGTATTTTTGGAAGTACACCTCCTATTCATTAGCATTAATTATGTAGAGTAATTATGTAGAGTAATATACGACAACTGACTGTGGGACTTGTCCAGACATCTTGATGGTATATAAATATATCCCGTGTTATCTAAGCTGTATGTTATTGGAGGCGCAGCAAAAAATGCAGCCTGGTCAAACTTCCTCAGCTGTATAGGAAAAGAACGACATGTATTAAAGAGTCCTTCAAGCAATCAAATACTTTAGATTTACGTTCCCAAATTAATTGTTTAGAATCATTATAATACCCTTCACGTGAAGTCTGATTTTAGAATCCTTAAACAAAGTTAAACATATGATTTTAAACACTAGTGTGAGGAAAAAATGTTTAAAAAAAAAGAAAGTAAAAATAATTTCAGCAAAAAATGCTTACCTCTCCAGCCGCAGTCGTATTTTGCGATGGCCTCTGAAATTTATATTACTTATTCTTAAAAAAGGAATATAGTATATATACACGTTTGCCAAAATACATAAGATGAAATGTACTCACTCTTAAGTGGCCCCCATAGATAAAGTTTAGGATTTCGAACGCTCCGTTATATCCACAGTTGTTCAGGAAGTTGGTTTTTGACAGAACTGTGCAGGGTCCACCTATTTTATCCGTTGGCTACAAAACATGTTTCATATATAATTTGATAAAACAACCAAGTATCTCACTGCGAGACTTTTAACGAGGCCGAGTCAAATTCGCAAATTATTGACAATGGATGAAGAAATGTAGGAAATTAGGATCTAAATAGGATCGATGTCTTGCTCTACTTAATCTTCAAGCTCCATGTGGACTCGGTGCTAAAAAGAATAATTAATCTTTTTCTGAGCGCAAGAGGTTAGATATACCCACAATTATTTGATAACAAGTCATTTATGAGTTTAAACAGAGAAGTTGACTTTAGTAATTAAAATGCTTAAGAGAGTTCAGGACCTTTAGAACTCTGTGTTAGGTTCCGCTGTATAAGCATCTTGGTTTTGTTTTGTTTGTTTTTTTTTTTTTAAACAAAACTGTCGAATAAGAAATTCCCAGTGCTCTATTTTAAAGCCGCTTACCCCGCCCTACACGACCGCACAGCTTTGGTCATTTACCGATATCTGTGTATGTAAAGCAAATTTACAGGGTGTACTGTTTGATAAAGAAGATGGGCGAACAGGAGAGCAAAATGCCTATTGTGTGTCAAACAAGAAAGTGAAAAATTATATCTTAAGTATGACAAAATTTTCTTTGAAATTTCATTTAACAGTAACATATACTTTACCTAAAATCTCCACAATTTGCAACAAAGATTGAAATTATTCGTCAATGAAATCGCATATACACACCAAACAGGGCAAAAATGATCATTTTTCCTACTATATAATATCATAATTTTTCCATATGAGTGGGTCTTCGCTCCATTTGTTTTGGGTTTTTTTTTAAATAAAAGTTAATACTCAAAGTATGCGTAAAACTATTCATATTTTGATTTAAAAAAAAACAAACAAAAAAAAAACAAGAAGCAAAGACCCACTATCCCCTAAAAAATTGCACTTTTATTACACAACATTTGTATCTTTCCGAGAAATATTTATATAGAGTCCATTTAGTCAAGGGTCATTTCACAAACGTGATTTAAATGCCGCTGTTTGTCATGAGATGTGTAAGCATAGTGGTAGCTTGTTAGTCTCAAAGAAAAAAAAGGTACTCAGAATTTTATTGCTTGGGTTCTAACCTCAAGAATAAGATATATTTTTTTGAATCATAGAATGATTTTTGCTTAAAGAATTTTCCGCAGAAAAGTTTTGTTTGTTATAATTTCATACCTTTCAATATTAAGTACTTTACTCTAAATACTAAATTCACACATTGAATATGACTTTCATACATTTTGAAGCTATAGGCATTTTGCCAGCCTTGTTCACCCATCTTCTTTATCTTATAACAATGACATTCTGTAATACAACAAAAACTTAAAAAAGAATCCATACCATGCAATGTTCAGTGTGCATATTAAAGACCTTCTTGATATTGTGGCTGTCATGGATGAAATGCTCGTAAAAACGTGCGATGTTTGGACCGTTGCCTAATAAATTTTATAAATGCAAGATTACAATTCCGTCTTAAATTTTTCAACAACAATATGCGTTTTATTAGTATGTACACTTCTTCAATCTTAAGTACATGTAAATATTTAAAAGTTATCAAGATACTTATGTTATACACTGTAGATGCCAGTTTTGGGTGGAAATGTAAGATTGTAATTTAAAAAAAAATACACTGCATTCTCCATATTTATGTCGAATGTTTGTTCACCTGATTTGTATATTCTATATCACAATATTACATGTAAGTCTCTGTTATACTTGTGCGCGTGGGAAAAAAAAGAATTTTAACATGGAGTCACAACGGAAATGACGTAGAACGATCCATGTTTGTTTCTTTTCCATACCTGGATGTACAACTGAGTCCTCTATTCCGTTAAAGATGAATACTTTGTCATGGCGCATATGGTACGTGGCGTCCACATTACCAAACAGTGCCCCGGATGAGACCAGAGCTTCAAATGTGTACACGGATTCTAGGGACGGCGTCTTCATACAGGTTGCCAATCCAGCCAGAGTACCACCCGAACACGCAAAAGGCACTGGAGTAAATCAATATTGAATAGCATGCGGTGTGTCCAAAAATAATAATAAACCATTGGAACACTTCAAAAGCACCAAAGAGAAGAAAAAAAACCCCAGAGAAATACAATGCAGTAAGAAATCTAGAATTTATGGCAATTCTATTCGAAAAAATCCTTTACACTGCAAATCGCATCAATGCCACATAGTCGCACATCATAGCAAACTGTTGTGCACCATATACCATTTCTAAATCTTTCATGACAATACATATATTTTCACTATACTGACCTCCCGCTACTATGCCAACTCCCATTATCCTACTGGAGTAGATGACGTGAAGTTGTGACGCCATGATGGCTCCAGACGACACCCCGGACACAGAGAGACTGGAACGGTCTACATTGTAGGTTTCTGGGAGAAACGGCAAATCAAAAATTCATATTTCAAGATCTTCTAATTAATCGTTTAGATTTTTTTCAAATTCAGAAAAATTGTTGAAGACCATTCAATTGAATTCAAAATGAATATAAAGAAAAAAGATTGTTTTCGAACGCCTCTTGTAAAAATCAAAATAAAAGAGCAAAGAACATGGGCATTTCGAGCCTTTTGTTCAGTAAAATATAATTATATGTACACACCAAGCGGGGGATCAACTGCAAACACAAGGCTGATACTCAACAATAAACATTTAAACCATGCTTTGTTCATAATGGAAAGTCGCAGATTCAGTTGGTGACTGAAACGAATGGCCTAATAGTAACAGATAAGGAATAATAATGCAAGGACATGAGTACTGATATCATGATAGCATATTATATAGTGATAAAATAATGTCCTTAAATAGGAACAAAATAAAGTAAAAATAGAAAAAGCAAACAAATAGAAACAAATACATACGTATATGTTCATTATTCACTTGCTTTCATTTTTCTATGTAAGTGAGTAAAATGACCAGAATGACCTGATCGGGGGGCGGGGGTCCGGATCCCCCCCCCCCGGAATTTGCAGAGTTATTAAAAGTATATACTGAAGCAAATTAAGAATGATTTTGGACCCCCCTCCCCCTAGAAAACGTGGACCACAATACCATCACCACGAAATAGGTTTTTTTTACGTTTGGGAATGGGGTTAAGGTTTCTTTTTTTGGATTGGAAATTTTTTGGACTGGAAAAAAATTTCTGGATCCGCGCCTGAATCATAATGTACAGATTATTGAATGATAATGGATTGTTCATTAGAGAATTCTTTCTCTTGTACGTTTTTTTACAAACGAAAAACATCTAATAATCACATACACAATATGAACTCAGTAGCAGATCCAGAATCCTTGAAGAGGGTTGGGGCAACCAGTTGGGGGTGGGGGAAGGGGTCCAAGCCCTCCGGAGCTCTCGGGTTTAAGAAGTTTTATGGAACAGTTTTTGATTTATTTTAGCTATACCTTATGTATAAGTAATACAATTTCTCACAAAAAATGATATATTATTAAATCTCGTGTATATTTTGTTGTAAATTTTGCATTTACCTCCCCCATAGTAAATTCAAAAATCACAACATGATACACAGATTAGGGGGTGGGGGTGGGTGGGCCACCTGCCCCCTCTAAATCCGCAAATGCAGGTTACATGCAACGAAATAAGTCAGTTTAAAATTCAGTTATGTCTCCACTTTGTTTGAATTAATTTATATTTATTATTTAAAAATTTCTTTCCGTATGAAAAAAAAATTAAGGTTTAAGATATTGCTGGGCAGACATTTCTGAAAAGTTTTAGTGCAAATTGCCTCCAATTGAACACTGATAACATGTACTCCTGTTGAAGGATTGAAGCATAGTATTGAACTTTTGAACGAAATAGTTAAAAGCAATATACATGTAATAGAACACATTGAAACTCAGATTAAAAACGCCAGAGAAGGGGACAAAGTCATGAGGTTATGACAAAGAAATGTTGTGGTTGTTAATAAAATGCTGCATTGTTTATTTTAAAAAAATCCATTTTATTTAACTGTTCACGTGAATATACAAATTTTCTAGCAACATTTACTTTGACAAATATAGGGTGTGTGGGCAACCTTCTTTTCAAACCCGCCATTTACATGAACATATACTCATAACTTTACTAAAAAAGGTGCTTAATATAATGTTTATTTTCATTGAAAAAAAAACGATAACAGTAGTTTTTAACATTTAATTCCCATTAAATCAATAGATATCTCATGGAATCTATCTTTTTAATTAATTAAAGAAAAAAATATATATAAAAAGTCTGAAAAATAGTTAAAAATCGAACAATAAAGGAGTATACGATGACAAACAATTATTATATACAAGCATTTAGCGCTAATGATTCGACTAAAAAAAATTAAGAATTTAATGATTACTTTGTCCAAGTAAAATATCTTACAGAAAAAAATAGAACAAAGCATATATTTAAGAAGGACAATTTTAATTGTGTTGGACGAATGGACAGATTTTATTGTTTTGTAGATGTATTTTCATTTTTATCTATCCATTTTATTTTGTTTGTATATTTCATAGTTTACAAAAATTAAGATACTGAGAAATAAGCTCTTATTCAAAGTCATTTTTTAATCAGTAATAAGCTTTCAAAAACAGAGTTAGGACTTCTTCAATGTAAAATCAGGTTAGAATTACCTAAAAAAAAAAAAAAAAAAAAAAAAAAAAGCTTATGTAAAGAAATTTGCAAAGATTTCTGGTAAAGTTGACTTGTTATCAAAAAAGATAAATATATTTCCTCCTTAGCCTTCCATAAAACATGTCAGATCTAGAAAATCCTCCCAGATACTTCACAGACACCCCATGTAACCTCATTTGGAGTAGTTAAAAGTCGCATGACTTTTAAAGTTTTATATCTATGTAAGTATACATGTTCTTCTATGCGTATAATGAGAAACGTAAATAAAACCCCTGTTGTTAAGGGGAAAGCCTGCATCAATGACTCGATTATCAGCAGTTCCTGTACATTATATTAGGAATGGCTATTTTTCCAAACGACTCATCAACACGCCCCTTTGTTTAATGTCACACGCGAGACGGAGTAAAATTGCCGTCACAATGGCCTTGTTTAATTTACAAACTCCAACTTTTATTGCACTTGAAAGATACGATATGGGTTTCGTTGTAAAATTTTCAGTTTCCTAATCTTTACATATCGTAAAATTGGTTCTTTTAATGGAAAGACGTTGTGACGTAATCTTGTGAATGATTCCCCCCTTTCTCGTGATTTAAAGGTCAGTTTAATTATATGGACGAATTATTCAGGCCTAGGACGATACATACAAATTAGGTACGATAAACTATTCCTCAGCATTCCCTTCCCATTACTGAAGCAAGACATCAGGATTAATGTTCAGACGCATTGGGGGAATATAAGGCGGTGTCCTCAAAGTTCTCCCCAGTATGCCTCCCTGTCCCTGAGAAGTGATTCATGCAAAAGGTGGTCCTAGGGATAAGCTATTTAAAATTCTTGGTAAGTTGATTATTAATTTTACTATTTTTTTTTTACGTAAAATAAATGCATATTTAATGGCCTGTGGATGAAAAAAGTATTGATGAAAAATACGGTTTAAAAGTCTTATATTTATATTGTTATCTAGAGAGTAATAAAAATGAAATATACATGTGTATGTACACAATTTCAACTTCAAATTTGTACAGAATTTACAACGTCAATGTTGACAAACTTTGTACAAAAATGAGGAATTTAATTTTTTCAAAAGAAAGTAATTCTATTTTCAATACTGGCAAAAATTTCATTTGGAAACGTATTTACAAGCTAATTCCGGATTCTATAATTATTACAGGGGAAATGATAAAAAATGTCCCTGGTCAACGTCCTCTTCGTAATTCATACTCCACATTTCTTTTACACACTGACGAATCTGAAAATCTTGAAATAAATAAGAAATAAAATGTTTTACAACATTTGCACATGCCTAATAAAATTTATAGCGTTGTGGGCAAATATTTGCTTTTCTTGATATAGCGTACTTCTACAGTAAAGAGGTTTCCATATCCCTGCAAATCAGGGCAAGTACATGTAACAGGGGGTCATTTTAGTTTCATTTAGCATATACTACTATACTCCTCTGGGACGATGAGTTTGGGGGAGGGGAATTTAAGATATCACTCACCAAATTATTTTAGTTAATTATTTTAGTTTCTGATAAAACATTCTCCCGGCGGTGGTCAGGGGTGGTGGACAATTAATCAAGATGTGAAATTTTAGTAAAAAGAGCCGATCGGGATGTAATCTTAAAGTTGTATTAAATATTTCATTATTTCATGCTCACAGGACCAAAATGTCTTTGATTTGACTAGGTTAGAGCGTTTTGGCTACGCCTCTCCAGTAATGTCATTTTGTGCAGATCAAACTCATTTCTCAATTTAATGCTAAACGAAACCCGTCGATTGATCACCGAAACACTCGTAATAGGTTGTAGTGTATTAGGTACGCCTGGTAAATTGCATTTCGATTAAAATATGCGCTGTTTAGTGGGAATTTGATAAGGCTTGACTAGAACAATGCGTGATAAACAACGCAGGCTAATTGTGCTAGATAGCCCAGACTGTGTGGTTTGTCTCACTCTGGAAAGGGGCGTGCTCGATCTGCATTCTTTGATGCTGATTCTTGTGTTAATTTAATACCAGTACTTAGTATAATTCCCAGTGATATAAACAATTTGTCCGCAAAATGAAAATGAAAGCTTACATTTTAATGAAACTGCACAATTTTCTCCTAATATAAGCGGGAATTTATAAAGTTAGACAGTAAAATAAAGATAATGAATATCAATATAAGTACCCGTGTCTTTTACAGGTTGAGATGGAAATACACGGTTTTGATGACGTAGACAACAGAAGTGAGATCGTACGATGAAGGGAGCATCCGTTGACAGTCAGAAATGACGAGCTGTCATGGAGTTGCTCTCTTTATCGAGAAGGTCTATATCGTCCATTCCTGTTCACGAAAAGGCCATGCCGCCCTTGTCTTTTTTGAGAATTGGATGTATCGGTTTGCTTGATTGAGAAGTAAGAGTAACTGGCATCAACATCATTCGGCAAACACGGGGTGATCTGTAACAAAAATCAACTTCTATTGTAAAGAGTTCGCCATTTCATTCCGGATTTAAACTTGATTAGAGCAATGATTAAGAAAAATTTACCAACAGCAACGTATATTTAAACCTAAACTATAAATAAGAAATCAAATAAGAAGAGCGTGTTGTATTATATGATTGTAGAAACTTGCAAAGTTTTTTTTTTTTTTTATACCGAAAAATAAACAACTTTTATTTGTTTTTTGTTGCATCTTGTCTATTATGGTTTATAGCTGGGTAAAAGAAAGTATTAGCTACAATTACATGTAAAGGAAATATTCATGGGTAGTGAATGGTGTTTAATAAACATGTTCGTGCGGTTGCATAACGTGATGTGTATGGCAAGCTAAATTCACAAAAATGAGCGAAACATGGTTTACTAGTCGAAAAACTAAGTTTATCAATTGTAAACTATAATTTATGAAGAGTAAATATTTTTTAACGGCATTAATTTCGATTTTACATCTGTAAACCACAGTATACGCTTCAATCTTTGTTTCACGAATATAAACTATACTTAACAGTGAAAACAATTATTACTTTGTTTTTTCTTCTTCAGATA